GTGTTGTTTATACAGGGTAGGCTTGCCAGATAAATTACAGGACACCCAGATAGGTTTGAGTTTTAGATACACAGAGGGGACTTTCTTTCTTTCTTTCTTTTCTTTCTTTCTTTCTTTCTTTCTTTCTTTCTTTCTTTCTTTCTTTCTATTTATTTATTCATGAGAGACACACGGAGAGAGAGGCAGACACACAGGCAGAGGGAGAAGCAGGCTCCATGCAGGGAACCCGATGCAGGACTCGATCCCAGGACCTCGGGATCAGGACCTGAGCCAAAGGCAGACGCTCAACCACTGAGCCACCCAGGTGTCCCTTGAGGGGACCTTTTTAGTGTAAGTATGTCCCAAACATTATGTTGAGTATTTTTCTGTAGCAATGAGCATTCTTCACAAGGGCTTCCCACCGATACCCAAGGCAGTGACCTTGAATTTGGGCCTCATTCCCTGTAAACAATGTCTTGAGAAAGAGACTTGGATCTGAGCTATGGCTATGGTCCCATAGAACACACCTTTTTCATTTCTTTCTGCCTCTCTTTTTCCTCCTCCTTCTTAACCTTTCTTCTGCAATTACTTCCCATTATCCTATAAATTAGAGACAACTGAGGGTATGCTAAGGAAGGAAACTGAGATGTGGTTAGTCTCCTCTTCCATAAAGGGAGGGTGATAGTGCCTTCTTATGGGGTTGCTGTGCAGTTTCAATGAGTCAATACATATAAAGTATTAAGAACAGTGCCTGGCATAGGCGAAATAGAAGTATTTGGCTCCAGGGTGTGGAGTCTAGAGTCAAGAAGCCTTTCTTGACTTCCTGTAGCCTGACTACCTGTAGTCCCCACTGTTGCCCTCCACCAACCTATTCTCCGTATTATAGCTACTGATCTCTTTTTTTTAAAGATTTTTATTAAAAAAAATAATAAAGATTTTTATTTATTTATTTGACAGAGAAAGAGAGAGAGCACAAGCGGCCGGAGCAGCAGGCAGAGAGAGGGGGAGGAGCAGGTTCCCTGCTGAGAAGGGGGGGGTCCAAGGGGAACCGCCAGGAGGCTTGATCCCAGGACCCTGGGATCATGACCTGAGCCAAAGGCAATCACTCAACCAGCTGAGCCACCCAGATGCCCCACTAGTGATCTTTTAAAAATGCAAATCTGATCATGTCATGGCTTTCTATGAATAAAAACCAACTAGACCCTGAATGTTTATGCTTTTATTTCTTTCTCTAATTTGACTGCTTGTCTCTTTTCCCTTCACTTTGTATTTTCCAGGCACAGAAGACTTTCAGGGCCATCAGGGTGATGCACATGCTGTGCCTTCTACCTAAAAGATTTTTCTCCTCCCCAACCCCCACTTCTCCATGTTAATTTTTCAGTCAGAGGGTACTTCCTTAGGGAAAACTTCCCTGACTTCCTAATCTAGATTTTTAAAAAGATTTTATTTGAGAGAGAGAGAGAGAGAGAGCCTTTGCGCATGAGAAAGAGGGAGGGGCACAGGGAGAGGGAGAAGCTGACGCCCTGCTAAGCAGGGAGCCCTACATAGGCTCTGTTCCAGGACCCTGGGATCATGACCCCAGAGGAAGGCATGACCCTTAACACCTGAGCCACTCAGGCATCCCCTTCCTAGTCTAGATTATAAATCATGATTAAGAGCACTCTGTACTCTTCCTTCATAGCCATTTATTACAGTTTTTTTTCATTTATTACAGTTTTTAATTATACATCCATGTGCTCCATGAGGACAGAGCCCATGTCTATCTTGTCAACCATTAAAGTCTTCAGGCCTAGCATAGTACCTACCACATACCAGATAATCAACCAAAAAAACTTTTTTTGATGAATTAGAGTATATTAGACCAGAAGTCAGTAGGCAAATCTGATCCACTACCTCTCTCTCAGACCTGCAAGCTAAGAATGGTTCTTAAATTTTTTTTCTTAAATTTTTAAATGATTAAAAATCAAAAGAAAAATAATATATCTTAACACATGAAGATTTTTTTTATTTTTATTTTTTATTGGAGTTCAATTTGCCGACATATAGCATAACACCCAGTGCTGATCCCATTGAGTGCCCCCCTCGGTGCCCGTCACCCAGTCACCCCAACCCCCCACCCACCTCCCTTTCCACCACTCCTTGTTCGTTTCCCAGAGTTAGGTGTCTCTCAGACACATGAAAATTAAGTAAAATTCCATTTCCATGTCCATGAATAAAGTTTTTTTTGGAACATAGTCCCACAGGTTCATTTACGTGTTCTCTGTGGCTACTTTTGTGCTACAGTGACCCATTAGTCGTGACAGAGACCAGATGGCCCACAAAGCCAAAAATATTTACTATCTGGCCTTTCAGAGAAAAAATTTGCTGACCCCGTGTTAAACAATAGTAATTTTGGGCTCTGGGGCAGCTTGTGTTCAAAAGCACCTGCAGGTGGCTTTTCTCAATTGTTAACAGTTTGCCTCTGTTGCTGAAACAAGTGATCTATTTATTTTGCTTGGCTGGTAGGATTAATTAAAGAGACTTTCCTTTGTGCTTTGTTTTTCTGTTTTTCTATCAACAGACAGAAGCCCCCAAAGGAGATTAGTCATATGCCATACTCCTTTGCTAGTGGTATGATCATGTAACTGTCTCCCACCATCAGATTTTCCAGTTCTTTGGATAATTCATGAATTCCTCTCCCAAATGAGACAAAGAGTTTGATAGGTGGTAGTGATGAATTTAAATAGAGTGCCTACATTTTCCCATCCACATTCCTTCAAATTACAAACTGGAAGCAGATTAAAAACTGTTTTTTGTCTTCTTTTAAAGGTATCTCTTTCCAGTTACAAATTCATACTTATCAGAGCAACACTTTAAAATACACATTAAAATCTAACAAGGTTTTAAGGTGATTTCAAAGCGATTTCACCAGAGTGCTAGATAAACATTTCAGCCAGGACAGATGATGTGTTCGTTTTTAAAATAACTTAATTTAAAAATCGAATCTGAAAAGTAACCACTCTACAGGCTGCTGAATTCAAAGATATTTTTACTGAGAAATAGACAAAGGGGATTGTATGAATATAGGTGTCTTGCTTTAAGTCATGCCTTTTACTTCTGAAAAGCAGTTTGTTGAGTGGAAATAGATCTAGTTGAATAAAATTCTAAAAATTCCCTCAGAGTAATCCACTTATAAAGTCAGTATTTAATCCTTGACTTATCTCTTCTTTAAATTCACATTTTCACACAATGGATCTGTTTAGAATAGAAGCCCCTTTGTAATGACAAAACAAAAACAAAAAACAAAAAACCAAATGGCACAGTACTAACATACCACCGATAAGATATTTTGGACAAAGTTAAGATCTTTTTGAATAAGGTATCCCAATTAATAAAATAGTATTAAAATATAAAGCTCCTAAATGATCTAAAATATGTATAGAAAATGAAGACAAAATATAGTATTTTATTAATGGAAGATGATCTCAAATACATTAACCATGCATTCCACTGAACAAGAAATCAATTATTTGAAAAAAAAAAAAAAAGAAAAAAGAAATCAATTATTTGACATAGTTTAGGAGGTGGTATTTCTAGACTTTTACCATAGCATCAGAAAATCCTCTGCAGGATGCTTAGCTGTTATGAGCTAGCCCATTATAAAGAATTTATGTCTGATTCAGTTGCACTATTTAAAAGGGCACTTTTATATATGATTATACTTGAGTGTATATGTGTATATACATATATATATTTCCATTAATATAACACAAACACTTCTCTATATGTTTTAATATGGCTCATGTTATGATTATTATAACTGACACAGGGTAGACATTATGATATTTACTGATGGTTACCAGGCACGTAACCAAAATTCTTGGAAGTTCAGGAATGTGCTGCATGGGTAAGAAATTTCTTTAAAAAGCATTTAAATTTTTCTTGTTTGGAATGCCTGGGTGGCTCAGCAGTTAAGTGTCTGCCCTCAGCTCAGGGTATGATGCTGGAGTCCTGGGGATGGAGTCCCCACATTGCACTCCCTGCATGGAGCCTGCTTCTTCCTCTGCCTATGTCTCTGCCTCTCTCTCTCTGTCTCTCGTGAATAAATAAAATCTTAAAAAAATTTTTTTCATGTTTGATTCATTGACAAACAATCCTTTCTAAGGATTAAATGATGGTTTTTAAAAAGTGATAAGCTTAAAAAAAAAGTGGTAAGTTCCCAAAAGAAAAGGAATGGAGCTCTATATAACATGGTAGATACAGAAAGGAATTCAAGTAGCATATTGTAAGCACGTTCACAAATAATAAGAATTTCTCTACAGATAATCTGGTAGGAAGCTAGCAAGTCAATTAGTGTGATGCTATGACCTTTACTTGAAGGTAGAGTGAAAAGTAACAAAAAAATCAAATAGTTACCCCACCACCACCACCCCGGACATCAGAGAGGAAAAGAAAACCTTAGGAATATTTTCATTTCTCAACGTCCTTTAAAAATAGATGAAAAGAGGCGTGCAAAGAATATTCTAGTCTCAATCAGAGGTTTGTGCAAGTTTTTTAATGTCAAATTTATTCAAAGAGCTTTTATTCTGAAATTATAACTTTCCCAATTTTTGGTGATTTTTTGGTTTTTGTTTTTTAAATAGACTTCATGCCCAGCAAGGAGACCAATGTGGGGCCTGAACTCATGACCCTGAGATCAAGACCTGACCTGAGATCGTCAGACACCTAACTGATTAAGCTATCCAGGTGCCCCAGAGTTTTGTTTTAAAGATTTGATTGATTGAGGGAATCCCTGGGTGGCGCAGCGGTTTAGCGCCTGCCTTTGGCCCAGGGTGTGATCCTGGAGACCTGGGATCGAATCCCACGTCGGGCTCCCAGAGCATGGAGCCTGCTTCTCCCTCTGCCTATGTCTCTGCCTCTCTCTCTCTCTCTCTATGTGTGACTATCATAAATAAATAAAATTAAAAAAAAAGATTTGATTGATTGATTTAGAGACAATGTGAGCAGGGGGAGGAGCAAAGGAAGAGGGAGAAAGAGAATCCCAAGCAGACTCTGAGCATGGAGCCCCATACGAGTCTTGATCCCAGGACCTGAGACCATGACCCGACCCAAAATCAAGAGTTGGATGCCCCACCAACTGAACCACCCAAGGTACCCCTCAAGTTTTGGTTTTAAAATATTTTTATTTTATGGAATAATGGGAAGAATAGATATTTATTTAGACTTACTGTGATACCTTTACTTGGCAAAATCAAAAGTTATTAAGGCTATGTCAGTTACCAAAAATTCCTTGCAAATTTTCAGTTCATGAAATAAAGTCTGGAAATCGGTGATCTAGACTCATTGATAAGACATATTTACAATAAAATATAAGTAATTCAAATGTTCTTAGAATAGAATTCTGGTTAATTAGATCTTCACATTTTAAGTTAATCTTTTTGTTTCAGCCTTGCTAGTTCGACTCAATTTGAAATGCATTTATTGAAAGCATCAGTTATGCCAGGCATTGACCCAAGTGATGCTGATCACTTAAAGTGATCACTTAAAGTGCCTAAGTAAGGCCTTTGATCTTGGAGAACAAATCAGATTAGCGCAAGAGACAGAAAAAGAAACACTTAAGTCCTGTCTTCAATTTGAAATCTAATAGTTGTATGTATGTGGTAGAGAAATAATCATGCCAGGAAAGGGGGTCCAATCTGAAAAGTCTTCACAAAGAAGCTAATGGTTCTATTGGATGTTGATGGACAGGAATATGAGAATCCTCCAGGTGAGCAAGGAGGGAAGGACACAAAGGGAACCCCATACCCAAAAGCATTGAGGCTTGAAAGAACAGGATCACTGATACCAACAGAGGAGCCATTTTAAGTGTCAAATGAAGGAGTGGTCAGAGAAGAAATCTGAGAGGTAGCCTGGAGTCAGATTTTAAAGGGAGATGTATATTTTGCTGAAATGCTTGGACTCTATTCAGTGTGTGCCTTGAGAATCTTTAAAGGATTTTGAACAGGAGAGAATTGGTAATCTTTCCAAAAATGTATTAGTATCTCTTCCTTTCTGCCTCAGTAGATAGAATATACTGAACAAAAATGACTCTTTTACTGATGATTGAAGGTCATTCAGTGATATTCCCAATGAATATCAGTGTTCTTTTTACAGAGGGACCCTCTGAAGTATGGAAGGTGAAGGACATGGAACTCCTTCCTCTATAGAGACTCAGGAAATATTTCTTCCTTTTTTTTTAAGCTTTGTTTTTTATTTTTTTAAAAAGATTTTATTTGGGATCCCTGGGTGGCGCAGCGGTTTGGTGCCTGCCTTTGGCCCAGGGCGCGATCCTGGAGACCCGGGATCGAATCCCACATCGGGCTCCCGGTGCATAGAGCCTGCTTCTCCCTCTGCCTATGTCTCTGCGCCTCTCTCTCTCTCTCTCTCTCTGTGACTATCATAAATAAATAAAAATTAAAAAAAATTAAAAAGATTTTATTTATTTGAGAGAGAGAGAGAGACAGAACATGAGTGAATGGAAGGGGTGGGGGGGGGAGAAGCAGACTCTAGCTGAGCAGGGAGTCCCACATGGGGCTTGATCCCAGGACCCTGAGATCATGACCTGAGCCCAAGGCAGACAGACGCTTAACTGACTGAGCCACCCGGGTGCCCTGGAAATATTTCTTTGAAATTTCTTTATAAAATCAAATTACTAGGAACATATTTTCTCTTAATTTGCTTCATTCTTGTTAATATATATATTTTTAGATGTTATTTATTCATGACAGACATAGAGAGAGAGGCAGAGACACAGGAAGAGGGAGAAGCAGTCTCCATGCAGGGAACCCGATTCAGGACTCAATCCCAGGAGCCGGGGTCATGTCCTGAGCCAAAAGCAGATGCTCAACTGCTGAACCACCCAGGGGTGGCTCTTGTTAATACTGATAAAGGGCTGGGGGAAGAAATTTTTGTGGACAGTTTCTAGGAATTGGATTTTTCTTAATTTTACTACAGAAAACCACTAGTTAATAGATAGTAACCACCTACATGCTAAGTGAGGGGTAGAGTTGTGCCACTTTTGGATAGAATGTGGAGATTCTGTCTCTGGAGAGTGGAGACATAGTCATTCCCCCCCCCCCCATTCTTTATTTAGCACATAATAGTTACTATATAAATTTACAGTGAACTGAAAAGAATTTGCATTATAAATGGTAACAATTTTTCTAAGGAAAACGAATTACTGGCTTCACAAGTAGTTCTCTGATGTGGTTTACCTTTGTGTGTAAACAGGGTAGGATAAATGATCCTAATGTATTTCACCCTTCAACAGAGTTTAAAAGAGATCCATATACAAGGATGTTAAAAAGATTGAGTCATGCTGGCACATCGGTAGAATATTTCATTTTTTATTTGTTTAATCTCTACAGCCAATGTGGGCCTTGAACTCACGACCCCCAAGATCAAGAATTGTATACTCTACTGAGTGAGCCAGCGAGGCACCTCTGGGAATATTTCTTTTTAAAGGATGGGGAATCTAGCTTGGAGATGAGAAATAAAAATATGGGATAAAGTTCCTCTGAAGGGAAAGTGCACAGTGTAAACTTCCCCAGGAGATAAAGTCTCTCTGAAGGGGAAAGTACAGATTGTAAATTTTTCCAGGGACTGGTTCAGTAATACCGAACATTCTTTCTTCCTTCCTTTTTTAAGTCGTTTATCTTTTTGAAAAAGTTATTTATTTATTTATTTATTTATTTATTTATTTATTTATTTATTTATTTATGAGAGAGAAGGGGGAGAGAGAGAGAAAGAGTGACAGGGAGGAGCAGAGGCAGAGAGACAAGTAGACAACGTGCTGAACAGAGCCTGACCCCGGGGTTTGATCCCACGACCCGGACATCATGACCTGAGCTCAAATCAAGAGTTGGATGCTCAACTGACTGAGCCACCCAGGTGCTCAAACGCTGAATATTCTTAAGAATGACCTGCATATTGGAAGCTCTGGGTTTGCAGGTTTCTAAATTTTTCCTCGATGTGAATACTAATAGTAGTATCAGCTAGTAGAGGGCTGGGTGTATGAGCTAAAAAGTGATAAGCAATCCTGTTGTGGGCAAGTGCGAAATAGAGAAAAAGTAATATGAATTATGTTTGTAAGGTAATGATCTCAGCATGGTTGGCTAAGTATAGGGAAGAGAATTTAGAGGTTAATGCAGACTGCCTTTGGGAATTATGAGCCCAATGTGCTCGTGTTACAGAATAATCTGGACATCAGAGAACAGGTGTTTTATGAAGAACTTGAAAATATCACCTAGACCTCAAACAAAACTTGTAGTTGTGGACACATCTGAAATATCTAGGTCATACTAGATATTAGAACATAGAATATTCTTTTTTATTTATTTTATTTTTATTTTTTTAGAATATTCTTTTTTAAAGATTTGAGGGCAGCCCAGGTGGCTCAGCAGTGTAGCGCTGCCTTCAGCCCAGGGAGTGATCCTGGGGACCTGGGATTGAGTCCCACGTTGGGCTCCCTGCATGGAGCCTGCTTCTCCCTCTGCCTGTGTCTCTGCCTCTCTCTCTGTCTCTGTGTCTGTCATGAATAAATAAAATCTTAAAAAAAAAAAAAAAGATTTGAGAGAGAGAGAAAGCACAAGCGGGGGAGGGGGGGCAGAGGGAGAAGCAGACTCCCCACTGATCAGGGAGCCCAATGTGGGGCTCCCTCCCAGGATCCCAGGATCATGACTGGAGCCACCCAGGTGCCCCTAGGATATAGAATATTCTTATATTCTAATATAGAATATCAGAACCCAGCAGTAGTTTGACTGTTGTAAATAAGAAAAACGGAATTTATCCTGACTATAGTTAAAAAAAAAAAAAAGCTAACAACCCCAAACCAAAATGGCATAGTCTGAAAATGAGGATTTAGTTGCACTTAACAAAATATTTATATAAGCATCTCTGAAGGCCATATAACCTAGCTGCTTGTCTTGCGCCCTCACTACAACCACCTGAAAGACCGACAGCATTTCCCCTTTGCTCACCTTTCGATATTTAAAGTTGTGTCCCTAAGATATTTTTGTGTGTGTGTGTCCCAAAGATTTTTGAGCTGAAGTCACCGAAAAAGTCTTGACCTAACTGATGTTTATCTCCCCCTTTCTGGTACTAAAGGCCACTTTCAGGGCACCTCTGGGTTCCCCTGGGCTACTACCCTGCACCTGCACTAAACAGCCTGAGGTCCAAAGGCCTCCCCAAGTGCAGGGGCAGTCGGAGGAGGCCGGGACCCTTAGACGTTTCACCCCCTAAAAGTCTTAGATGGGGACCAAAGCATAACTGTCCTCAGCTGTCGTCCTTACAACCCTTTCGGTTCTTGCAGCTCTGGTGGGAAGCCGGGGCCGTCAGGACCCACCGGGCTGGGCCTGCCCAAGAATTCCTCCCCTCGCGGGGGAGGTTTTGCGGCACGAGGTGAAGCTTCCGGAGCCAGACACCCTCTTCCTCTCAAGAAACAGCCTCCTGCTGCGGGTGTGGGCTCAACCTGGGCGCCCCCTGCGACGGTTCCAGCAACGGAGACGGACGTCCTCGGCTTCGGAGGGGGGCAGGAGAGGCACCGCGTCTTCAGTCTTCTCGGATGAGTCCCTCAGCTTTCGTGACGAACGCCCACGCAACAGGGGACGTGGACGGAGCCGAACTTTTTAATGGAAATGATAGAAGTACGTTTTTTTTTTTTTTTTTTTTTTTTTTTTGTGACCGACTGCGAGGTGACACGTCCAGGTTTGCAGACACCTTCACTAAAGCTCTTCGGGGTGGCGAGATGCCCGTGCACGCTCACACCTGGGCCGACGTCGGGAGGACTTCGTCCCAGAATCTCAGGTGCTGCGATGCACCCTCACCTGCCCATCCACGGCTAACGACGCGCGGGGGCGCGCGGGATCCCCGCTCCGGGCACAGCCCCCCGGTGGAGAGGATGTTGCACGCTCCTCTCCCCCCGGGCCCGCTTTCTCCCACACGGGCCGGCGAGTTCGTCCACGACCCCTGCCTCGCTGGACGGGAAAGGCGCGGGGAAGGAGGCAAAGCCAGGGGAGGACTTTGCGGCTGGGTCTCCCAGCCCCGCGAAGGGAGCGCGGCGATGGGGCGGGGCGTGCGGCCTCCCTCCTGCCTTGCCCAATCAGGCGCACAGGAAGATGTCCTCTTACCAATCAAAATAAAGTTCGCTTTCCGGGGGCGGGAGGGTGAGCCTTGATTGCCAGTTCTCCAAAGCAACGCCAGGCTAGAGGACGCAGAGTGACTGGGCGAAGGACCAACCGCGGGGAGGGGGCGGGCCGGGGGCGGGCGCCCCGGTGAGCGGCGGCCCGCCCGGCCAGTGGGGCGCGCGGGCTGCTGTTCCTGTTGTAGGGCCTCTCGCCAATCGGGAGGGCGAGGGAGTGGGCGGGGCGGGGAAGGGGTGGGACGAGCTCGCAGCAGCGCCGGGCGTCCGTCGGGCTCCGGGGGGAGAGAGAAATCCGGTGAAAATCAGAGTCGGAGCTTTAAGCACACATCGGTTCCGAGCGGATTATTCCTTAAAGGGGACGCGCCATTGTCAAGAGAACGGAGCCCGGGGCCCGAGGGCGGGGACCGGCGGCGCCCGAGGAGCGAGGCAGCTGCACTTGGACTGGGGACGGGTAGGTGTTGCCCGGGGGAAGACGCCTCATTTCACTTTCTCTTCCAGCCCCCGGGGCAGGCGGCGGGATGCCCGCCCGACCGGGGGCCACAGCCCTGGCGGGAGCCGAGGTCGCCGGCCCGCGCGCGGCTCCCTTCCCGGTGGGAGCCGAGGGGAGGCGGGCCAGGATGGCTGGCGGGCTGCGCCGGCCCCGCACACACTCCAACGGACGGCGCCCGGCCGCGCAGCCCCCCGCCTCAACCGAAAGCCCGCTGGAGCGGCGGCGGGTCCTCGGGGAGCGCCGCGCGCCCGGCTCCCCTCGCGCGCCCCCTGCCCCCGCGCGCCCGGCTCCCCTCGCGCGCCCCCTGCCCCCGCGCGCCCGGCTCTCCTCGCGCCCCCTGCTCCTCGCGCGCGCCCCCTGCTCCCCGCGCGCCCGGTTCCTCTCGCGCGCCCCTGGCTCTCCTCGCGCGCCCACGGCTCCCCCCGCGCCCGGCTCCCTCGCGCGCCTCTGGTTCCCCTCGCGCGCGCCCCCTGCCTCCGCGCGCCCGGTTCCCTTCGCGCGCTCCCGGCACCCCCGGCCCCCCCCCCCCAGCCCGGCTCTCGAGCGCCCCCTGCCCCGCGCGCCCCCTTGCCCCCCGCGCGCCCGCCTCCCTTCGCGCGCCCCCCGCCCCGCGCGCCCCGTACTCCTCGCGCGCCCCCTGCCCCCCCCCCCCCCCGCCCCGCGCTCGGCTTCCCCGGCTCCCCCTGCGCGCCCCCTGCTCCCGCGCGCCCGACTCTCCTCGCTCGCCCCCTGCCCCGCGCGCGCCCCCTACCCCCCTGTGCCCCCAGCCCCGCGCGCGCCCGCCTCCCCTCGCGCGGCCCGTTTCCCCTCCGCGCGCGGGGCTGCCCCTCGCGCGCCGCCGCCTCTGCTCCTCGGCTCCTCGCCGACTCTCGGGAGCCGCCCCGCGGAGAGGACGGCGGCGGCGGCCGGCGGCGGAGGGAGGGCCGGGAGCAGTTGGCGGCAGCTGGCGGCCGCGGGCGGGAAGAGGCGCGGGGACCCCCTTGGAGCGGCCGAGACGCCGCCGCCCGGTCCAGCATTGTCCCTCGGGCTCGGCTCTCGGGTCTCCGCCCGCTCCTCGCGGTCGCTCCCGCAGCCCCGGAGCCGGCCGGGCCGGCGCGAGTCTCGGCCTCCCCGGTCCGCGCGGCCGCCGCAGCCTGGGCGCCGAGCTCGTCGTGCAACTTTTCTTTGCCGGTCGCGGGAAGTGGTGGCTTCCGGGCAGCAGGTTCTCTGGGCACAGACTCTCCGTCCTTTCTGGAGAGGAGGCTCTCGAGGGCTCCGGGTTGCTGATGCCCGGCTCTCCTGCTGTCCCAGTTGCGTCCCTGGCCCGCTCCCCTCGCTTCCCTCCTGGGTTTGCAATGGTTCGGGAGCAGGAGGCTCTCGGGCCCCGAGATGAGGGCGAAGGAGCCAGCCCAGGGAGCTGCGTCGGGGCGCAGCGGGAGCTCCGCGGAGCGGGATTTGCCGCAGCCCTTGAACTGCGGAAAGTTCCCTCGACCTCCTGCCCGAGGTGCTTGGGGAAGGAAGACCACAACGAAACCAACTTCTTAGGTTGCGAGGGTCTGTAGGATTAGAAAAAAAAAATGCTTTTTTTTTTTTTTAAAGAAATAAAGTTACTTTTGTAAAATACCGTTCTGCCTAGCAGATGTCTACCGTCCAGGTAATTTCTAGGACTGAATCTCGCAGGTATTGTAATTAGTAACAACTTTTTCTATTGATAAAACAAGTATAAGAGACTTTTTTCGCATCCTGACCATTATTGCTGTGCTATACCTGTCAGTATTTCCTAAAGAAATCATTCAGAAACGGCACATCCCTTGTTAGAGACCTTATTTAGAAAAGGAATGTTTTCATAAGCATTCATTTTTGACAGTTTCTTCTTCAGCAATACTTTGTAGAGAGTACTTGCATGTGCAAGTTACAAGCCTATAAACAAAGTAGCAGTGGGTGTGTTATTCTGTAGGCTTTTTTTTTTTTTTTTTTTTTTTTTGCTACTCACGATCAAAAATAGCATCGCATCCTGTCTTTTCTGACATTCTGAGTTATTTTGTAAAATTACTTCTCTGGAAGAGTGAATTTTGTTGGAATGCCTGGCTCAGTGGGTTTTTTTTTTCTTTTGTTTTTTTGTTTTTTTCTTTAAAGCAATACTAACAACTTCCTGAAGCGTTCCTTGATTAACTCACTGTCTAGTAACTTTTTGAGTGGCGTGGAACATTATTAGTTCACAGGCTGGCAATAAGAAACAGGGAAACTGAAAGCCAAATTCGCTTAATAATGTTTTGAGAAGTAGTCTGTTCTTCCCACAGAATTTAGGAAGTGCAGACACATAAAACCATGTTCTTTTGTAGTAATCCTGATGGTATCTGGCATTGTTACACCTGTATTCCTCTCCTCCCTCCCCTTTGATCCTCTTCTGTGATAAGGATGTCAGGCCCAGCTTGCAGGCATAATCTCCCTTTCCATCTCCTACTATAGCTAAGTAGAAGATTAAAACACGTTTCCAAATTTCTATCTTTGTTTACTTCCAGTTTAAACAATAGAGGAAAGAATTTCTGAACTTTTAAAAGAGCACATTCAGAAAGAATTGTCTTTGAAATATCTAGGCTGTGCTTCCTGGAAAACATTTTTTTCCTGTGTGCTTTTCATATTGTTTTAAACACATTGTCTTATGTATACACATTGTCAAGCCATTTCTTGAGCTGTGAACTGTCCCTTGAGATCCTTGGGAACTGGGACTGTCCTTCATTTCTCTGCAAATTCACTGTGTCACAATAAATGTGTTGTCTTAAGACTTTGTGACAAAGAGATAATGTTCTATGAAGGCTGCTTGAGAGATTTAATTTTGTTCTTTTAAAATAAGCACCCTTTCTGAACAAGTTACACTAAAGCACAACAATTAGTTCAGTGTCTAGTGTAGATATTAAATCTGGATGTTTTCTGTTCTGTGTACGAATATATAATTGTTTGTAATATCTGTCCCGCAGACATCTTTTGTGATAGTGATAGCTTATTGTCACAATAATCAGAGCTAGGTTTAACCTGTCAACGATATCTGTTGAGTATGTATTTATTTAAGAAGTATTATGGAAAGGTAAAATAGAAAGGGATTACAGCCATTGCTCTCAAAAGTGTAACAGTTTATTTTTTTATTTTAAAGATTGTATTTATTTATTCATGAGAGACACAGAGAGAGAGGGAGGCAAAGACAGGCAGAGGGAGAAGCAGGCTCCATGCAGGGAACCCGATGCAGGACTCGATCCCAGTGCCCCAGGATCACGTCCTGGGCTGAAGGCAGATGACCCCAACTGCTGAGCCACCCAGGCCTCCCAAGGTATAACAGTTTAATGGAAAGGTGTAAAATTATCATCCTTAGGAAAAAGTGTATATCTCAGCACAGTAACAAGTGCAAAGGATTCATGCTCATGTGGTAAAAGAATAGTGGAATGATAGAAGAAATCTAGGTGAAGTGGGAAAGTTTTCATTGCTTTATATAGGTTTTATATTTTAAAAGATAAAGTATGTTTGGGGCTTGGCTGGGTATATGTTCTCTACTTGAACTATTTTTATCTATAAAATATTTTTTTGGGGCAGAGCATGTGCTCTGAATTTCAACTGTTGTTACCTCACTAGAGGGATCATCCATCTAACCCAGCTCAAATGTCACCTTGCCTGCGAGCTCTTCTTCTATTCTCCTAATCAAGTGATCACTCTTTTCTTTTGCTCTTATAAAACCCTTTTACAGCACAAGCCGTGCTCTGACTTACGGTATGGTTATGTTTGTATTTTCTTCATTAGATTGTAGACTTTGCTAAATCATTAACAAATTTGGAGGTACTCCCCCCCCCCCCCCCGTCGTCCCCCACCTTTTTTTTTTTTACTGTTGCCTATAGTACTGGAACATTTTTGTTACCACACCAGTATTCTGAAAAACCATAAGCTGTAAAGAGGTTCCAAATTGTTTTACTTGGAGAAAGTGTGTTGTGTATGTATGTTTAGAGGTAAACTATTTTTTCCCGTATCACTAAAGCTTTGCATGCTTAGTAAGAATATTTGCATGCTCTTGAGTGTAAGGCTGCCACTAGTATGTTGGTGTTCAAAACATTTCAGAAACTGCTCAAAACTTGTATTCCTGAACAGTTTACCTGCCATCACCCTAAAATATTTTTGGAGTACATACTCCTAAGCTTAATCTCATTTCTTGATTCTTTTACTCTCTAGAGAGCATTAAAAATGGCTTTGAGACTGCCAAAAGGCGCTCCTCATAGTAGTCCAAGGCGGAATGTGGGAAGACATTTCTTCAAGATAAAATCACATACAGAGGTTTTACTCAAACCTTATGTTGCTCATCATAAAAAGGGAGCTACAATTTGGGCTGATGATGTGGGTAGTAAGATTCTGTTGTTCTAGGTGCTTCTTTAAGCCAGCCTAGAGGGGGAAAAAAGGTTTTCCAAATGTTCCTAAATAGAAAACGCAGTTGTAAGCAGCCAGTTGGCCTAATCAGCTGAGAAATCTCCATTCATTCAGCAAATTTTTATTGAGAAA